ATCCTTCACCTGCGTTTTTATTGATTTTTAGCTTTGAAGATTGATAGATTTGATTGTTCTTGAAGGTTTGAATCGATGCGGGAAGAGTTGTAGGTTGAGATGGTTGAACTATCTTAGACCCAATATCAAGAGAGGTAACATCTCTCACGAAGAAGAGGACCTCATACTTCGGCTTCATAAGCTACTTGGCAACAGGTTAGTGAATAAATTAAACACACCATTATACTATAGGTAACCCATAGCTACATTAACTTGACCTTGAGCTTGTGTACATTTTGTATGGCTTGCAATATAGGGATTGGGTTAGCAAGCAGGAATCAATCTACGGCACCCCATGTCTTGCTCACTAGTTTTTTGGTGGTGGTGGTGTGGTTATCATTAACCAAACATTTCACGGAAAGAGACCCTCGTGGCCACGGCTAACACTATCTGCCCCATTTCCTTTGTTCAAAAAAATATAGACTATGACCGTGACCTTACCCTAGAGACTTGGGCCCAAAATAATGTCCTAGAAATATGTGTTTATTTATAAGAATTGTACATCTGTTATTAAAAAAATAATAACAAAGGATCCGGATCTATGAGAACCATGTTCTAAGATTTGATAATATAATTCTGATAGTGCTAATAAGTTATTTTTAGGCACATTAATCCAACAATAGTTCCTAAATTGATTTGATTTTTTTTTTTTTTTTGTTCTTTGATAGGTGGTCTTTGATTGCTGGGAGACTTCCGGGACGAACTGATAACGAGATTAAGAACTATTGGAATTCTCATTTGAGCAGAAAAATAAATCAAAATGAAAAAACAAAAGCATCATCGTCCACACAAGAATCTTTGCCACACAACATTGAAGACATCGCTAAAGAAAAAGTAGTTGATAGCATGGAAAGAACCGGAGACATGGAGGTTCACTTCGATGTAAATGAATACCTCGACTTTTCAAGTGAAGGGACCTATGGATTAGAATGGGTGAACAAATTTGTTGAATTCCATTGGGATTCATAGGTTATCTAGAAAATGAGAGGTTTGTGTAAATTGTAATAAGTACGTGTCTCAATAATATTTAGTATATTTTGGTTGATTTTGTTTGGGTCCGTTTTTTTTTTTAATGTTAAATTATTTATTGTGTATTATCGATAGAAATTGAAGGAAAAAAAAAGAGAAGATATTTAAACACTGAGAGAAATTGAAAAAAATAATCAGGAACTAGCAGCAATAAACTTGTGGGCATCATAGGGAAAGGAGCAATGTTATGTGTATAAAAAATGTATACCAAATTATTGGTAGTTGTTCGATCAATGAGTTTCGTTACTAATTTAATGATTTTAGTTTAATTAATGTAAATTTTGGTGCATGAAAAATTACCGAAGGCAAAGTGAGAGATTCACCATGCAGAATTTTATGTACAGAACATAGAATTATTGGATGAAAAGTGGACAAAAGACTTCACAGGAAGAGACAAAAACTCCTGGCATTTAGATTACAAGATCCTACTCACCATTCCCAAATGTTTGGTTCACCAGAAACGACACAGAAAAAGGAAAAGTTTACGGAAAATGTTATTTGAATTTAAAATAATAATTTAATTAATTATAATTATTAAATAGATAATGAATTCTAATAAATACTTGAATCCACAATTAAATGAATGATAATAATTAATCAAACCTACATTATTTTTATTTTTTTGTTGAGAAAAAATAAGGGGTGGGGGTAAAGAATAACACCCAGTGACCATCCCGATAAGTTTTCACCGGTGGGATCATAAAATTCTTGATCACGTCTGAAACATCTCTCGGAATCAGACCTAGCTAGGCTAGCATAGCTGTCAACCACCAAGTCCTAATAAAGACTCCAAAACTCGAACTCTCGACCTTAAGATGAGGAATATGGTCGGTACTCCGTTAGATCACCTTACTCGATGGTTAAAACTTGCATTTAAAATCTATGTGAAATTACTCAAAATTTACATCTAAAAAAATGGCATAAATGTTGGGATATAACACTATCATTATTTTTTTACGAAGAGGCAATAAGAACAGAGCACGAGATTGCCCGAAAGAAGGGGCACTGAAAGAAAGGGACAGCTTGTAGCAAGATGTGGATTAGATAAATGATTTTTCCCTTATTGTCGTTGGATACTAAAAATTACCCCACGACGATGACATTATACAGACAGTCGGGACCAAAAATGTGCACTGAGATTTTTTTTTTGTTTGTTTGTTTGTTTCCTTCCGACAATAATGTCATTACTGTATATTGAAGTGATGGCTAAACATACTCTTTCCATTAAGTGTTTCATGGGTTCAAGTCATAGAAATAAATATTTTATAATAAAATAATATTGTCTATCACATTCATTTATTTCTCTTAATTTTTTTTTCAGTTTAATAGTCAGAAATATTCAGACAAAACTTCGATTAATTCTCTTACTCGATTTGGTCAAAGACATGTCATTCATGATAGAACTAAGATATTTACGATGGTCTGACCTCAAAAAAATTATAACTTATCTCTGTTATTATTTGAATTATTCCTTCAAATGGGCCAAAAACTTTATTTTTTAATGGTGAGCCAAAAGTTTTATTTTTTTAATTGGTTTGGGTAGATTGTGATCGGTCAAAATTTTATTTTTTTAATAAGTTTTAGTACATAGTGGTGGGCTCAAATTTGTTTATTCTAAATGAACTTAATTTTTTAATTTTTTTGAATAAATAATGTGGGCCTAATATTTTTATTTTAAATTTTGGATGGGGCACAAATAATATGTTATACAAATATATAATATATATACTTAACTAATAAATTTTTTTTATTTTTTGAGGAGGGGCATGTGCCCACCGTGGCTGTAGCCTCCATTGGCCTTGCATGACATTATGATAAATTAATTTTACAATGCCAAATATGAGTGAGTTTCTCACTTATAATTAATAGATGATAAATTAAAAAAATTAAAATATGTATTAAAAAAAATTATCAAATAATAATAGTTAATTATTCATAATTATTTATTAAATTATTTGTGAATCTCAATATCCGTTGGACTTACGACCAATTCGATCATTATGATGACAGCAAATCATACCAAGTACAAGTACATTTATTGAATCTTATTCCAGTTACTAGCCACGTCATGGGAGTCACCACGGTCAATAACACATTGCCACGTATATAACGGTGACATGTAGCAGTGCTTTTGCGACTGAAAATGACATGCTCAATGGTCTCTTGAATGGCAGTGCTCTGCGATCTCCGTCCCAAACCACGCCTCTCTCTCTCTCTCTCCATGGCTGCTCCGTTCTTTTCAATTCCTTTCCAACCTTTTGTTTATCAGGTACTCTCTCTCAATTTTCATTTTCATATTTAGTGTTTTGGTCAGGTTTTTAATCGTTCCTTTCCTGTCAATTATAACTTTGTATGTGTATGGATCATCGATATGCGTGTCAGCGTGTGTGTGTGTTCTAGATTGCTGAGAAACTGTTTCTCCTTGGTTGGGACTGTTGGAATGAAAAGTATACTTGACTGAATTTGATTCTGTTCCGCGATGTTATGAGTTTGGTAGCTTGGATTGGTTATGTCAATTATGCGTGGAGTGTTTCACGGTGACATTTCACATACGTTTGCCATTTGTGGTGAAATTGGCGTCGATGTGTTGAGAAGTGGTGAAATTCTTGACATTAATGGTAAGATCACAACGAATAATATGGGCTGACTAGTGTGGGATGATTGTTTTGTATCAGATAGAGAATACATTTCCCGGAACTATTGTAATCAGAGAATGCAGCTATGTCATAATGTGTACTTCATTCAAAATTCTCAATGAGATATTGATTCCCATATTGGAAATTTAATGTGAAGCTCGGCTAGAATTGGCATGTTAGCTTTTAGTAAGATGAGGGAGAACTTTATAAAGATGGGATGATTTCTCTTCTTGCCCTCATCTCTCTTTTCTTTTTTTTCCCATTGGCGTTCCATTATGACATAGGTAGAACACATGGATCAAGGTAGAAAAGTTTGATGGATTTTTTACGATTTAAGGTGCAACTTAAATTTGACTGATTATTATATAGAGCAAAAAAAATTTCTCATGCTTTCCTCAAGAGGCAAACTGAAAATGCAAATTGGAAAGAATACATATGCACATTTTGATAACAAAATTTTGGGGATCATTGTTGTAAATCATTGGAGGTTTTGCTGAATAACAACAGTATACATGTTATTTGTGTTGGGGTCTTTGTATCCAAATCATCACTATGACGATTGCATACCTCTGCCATTTCTTTGTCGTCACCAGAGCTGCCATATTTGTCACTACCACCACCATTGTCTTTTCAATCTTCCAACCATCTTCATCATGACTTTTTACATTGCCATCGCCCATCACCACTTCCCATTGTCGTTGCTCATTCTCACTCACACACCACACACCACCACCACCACCATATCTATTATTAAAACAACCAATAATGTGAACTTTGTGACCATCATCCACCACCAGTACCATTGCCATTGTGACCTACCACCATTTTGTTGTTGGCACCATCACCAATCACTACCAGCTTTATTTATGTTCCAAAATTATCAGATATTTTTGTTGTAATGCCAAATTCAACTTTGAACATAGTTGTTACTACCAAGCAGGAGCTTTTGAATTTAATAATTAGCGACTATTAGATTTTCAATTTTTAGAATTAAAAGTCCACATGCCAAGTCCAAATTGTTGAACCTGGCACGCCCTACTAGGGTATGTTGATCCTTCCATATAATTTTTATCATTGCAATAGTATTATTATTCTTTCTATACTACTAATGGGGATAACATACTGTAGAATCCACAAGAAGCTGTAACACCTTTTCAGATTTTGGGTGGTGAAGCACAAATAGTCCAGGAACTGATAGCATTTGCCTCCATTTAATTTGTAAACGTAATTTTCTGCTCACTGTCGTTGTTTTTAAAATTTCCCCCCTTTCGGTGTTGACTCTCTTATTACCAGATTATGTTGAAGCCTCAAGAAAAGGAAATTGCCAAGCCCGGTAAGTTGCTTGTTAACTAATTTATAGATGAGCTCTTATGGGTGTTTTAATAGTATTGGGCCAGTTGGCTATTTCAAGTGAAAAGAATATCAGTTGATTTGTGTCAAAAATTGCTCCAGGCACTCCCATAGGAAAGTTAGTTCATCTATTCCATGGGTTACGTAATTGGAGATGCTTCTTGGTTTGTTTGTTTCATCCTTTTTGCTGTTACATGTTACTTCTTTATTATTGAGAGAAGGCTGAATTCATTACCTGGAAAACTGTCTTGCTCATCAAATTAGTGATCAACTTTGGTAATAGAGTTATTTCACTGGCAATTTTCTCCATAAATTTTTTTGATGGTTGACCCAGAATGAAAATCCCTTAGTGGGTACCCATTTGATTCCTTCTTGTGCTTTACAAAGCTTGATTTCTCATTTTGCCAAATTGACTGGTGATTGGAGATATGCATTGGGGACTTCAATCTGGTTGTTGGGAAGATTGTTATATTAACTGATTGCCATTACTTGGGCGTGTGGGTAGAAACTTGGGTTTCTATTGAGGAGTCACTAACACCTCGAGTATGACTGGATATGTTATACTTATAGCTGGCGGTTATCTTTTGTGGATTGGTTCCTTTATTACTAAATGATTTTGTATGATTTGCAGGTTCCATGTGCTATATGCCGGGGTCCGTTGTATTGGAACATGTTTTTCCTCCTGAACATGAAGCAGGCATGTGGCAATGGCTTTTTGGCAAGCGTGTGACCAGCATAGTTTTCTCCAATGTTGGTCCAAGTGATGGATTTGTTGGGATTGCTGCACCTTCTCTAGCAAGAATTCTCCCTGTTAGTATTGTTCATTTTTTTTTATCAACTGTATAATCCAAAATTTAATTCACAATCACATCTATTACTATTCTAATATAAGAAATTGGTCATGATCCTGAATTTAACATATGATCTTACTAATCATATCCTTGCTTTATGCCACTGATTTTTGTAGATTGATTTAGCAGTGCTCGGTGGTGAAATGTTGTGCCAGGTACAACTGATTTTTTTTTTTTTTTGATTTACTATCTATATCTTTACTTTTTTTGCTGAGAAATTGTTTTAATGTCCGTTCTTTACCTTGTTGATTGATAGTGAGGAAGGGTATAAAGAATGTCTCTCTTAGGGGTAGTTTGTAGCTTTCCTTACGCTAATTTAAGAAAAAAGCAGTACCACTGTTAGTGTCCTAAGCCCTTTAATACAAAGAGTAAGTTTGGTACTCACTCCCCACATGTGACTTCACTAATATTGTTTTGCAGCCAAGATGCATTTCTTTGCTCCATCAGCGATGTGAAAGTCAGTAATGTAGTTGATCAGAGGGTGCGTAACGTCATTGCTACTGCAGAAGTGAGATCACACGATTTCGTTGATGATCATGTGTATCAATTTAACAATGATAACATACTGACATGCATGCTATTCTGTCTATAGAGTTTCTTGAGGCAGAAGATTTCTGGCCGGGGGCTTGCATTTATTGTCGGGGGTGGTACCGGTATGATATTTTGACTTCGTGTAAATTCCAGGAAACACTTCAATGTAGGTTTGAAGAGTGTGAATCTTGCCTGAGTATTGAGGACAACGTATTTAGGACAAAAAATTGCCTGTTTTCCTAAGTTGGGTTTCCATAATGTAAAACTCCCAGGGCTAGCATGTTGACATATAATTTGTACCTTAGATTTGAGATTTTCATTCTTATTTTGCAATGACTTTGAATTTTGTCTAAGGTAGTCTTAAACTTACACGATGTTAGCATTTAAGCTAAATAAACTAGAGCAGAAATTTTAAAATTTTTTATTGTCCCCCTTATATTTTTAGAAAATTTTATTTTTAATCTCTAGCTTTTCAAAATACCCAATGTGTAAGTATCTTAATAATATATTCAAAAAGATCAATAACTTAATATTTAGTAACTATTTAGGATGTAGTCACATGGATGAGTGTCGCTTGTACTGACAAAGACACTTGTTGGATTATTTTGATGACGTAGAGAAAAAAAAACTTTTTTTAAAAAAAAAATAGGGATAAAAATATGGTTTATATCAAAAGTAGTCCATTGACTTATAATTCATTTGTATTATGGTATCAAATAAAACTATTATTTATGACCTATTTATTTATAGATATAAGATTACATTATAAACAAGAAAAAGAGAGGACAAGAATATTTACACAAATGAATTTTTATGATAGCATGAATCAATTTTTGAGTTTTGTACTCAAAAATAATTTTTTCGTTGTCATTGCATAAAAATTAAATTTAATAGGTTCTTTACAAATAAAAATTTTTCATTGACAATAACATTGAATTAAATTTTTGTCTCTGTCATTGTTGGCCCCCCTCAAGATAAAATTCTGGTTCCGTCCTTGAACTTGAGAGTTGGAATTGCTTAAGGATCTTCAAGCAAGTGAGGGATTTCTAGTGAATGAGGTACCCCTTTTCAATAGGAGCCTTACTTTGTTATATATACATTCTGTCTAGGAAATTATTGCCTGAGTTAGAAACTTGTGTGGTAAAGATTTCAAGACTTATACATTAGGTCCATGTTATTATGATGGTACCTTTTGATGCGCCCTGTAAGATCCATATGAGAAATGCCCATTGTATGTATATAAAGGGATAAATAATAAGTAAGAATCCATTCACCAACTACTTCTCTTGTTAATCATTATGTATGCATCTGAAATCGAGTATGATATTTAATTTAGGGATGGTGTTTCTGCAAACTTGGACGTATTTGCTTATTGGTGTAGCAAGAGAAAGATGCTTTATTTAAATTTTATTCTCATTCCATTTTCACCAGTTGTACAGAAGAATCTCGAGGTTGGTGAAGTACTTTCTGTTGACATGTCAAGCATTGTCGCCTTGTCAGCAACGATCAATGTACAAGTCAAGTATAATGCTCCGATGAGAAGGGTGGTCTTTGGGGTAAGTTGCTTCTGTTTTCTTATCCCGTTAGGATTTCTGGTTCTTTTTCCTATTAATTTGCTTTTCTTTCCATCTTTCCATGCCTTTTTTTCTGTGAGATTTATTCTTTTCCAAGTTATCCTTACAGAAACATGTATGGCTACTCTATATACCTTTATATTGGTTGAAATTATGCATTTACAGATGTAAATTTACTTGTATCATTGAGACTCATACAAAGTTATGGTGCGCTGCCTTCTTAGAATTTTTATTGATCTGCTTTATGATTTATATTTTGGTGCATTATATTTAGTATTAGAAGCAGCAAGACAGCAATAGAGCGAATTTCCTACTTTTTGTATTTATAAACTTAAAATTCCCCCACAATATAAGTTCTGTCGTGACCCCAAATTCCTTTCTGTTTGTCTTGACATGTAAACCTAGTGCCCTATTTAATATTGAAGCCATCCTTACCAAAGCTATTCGCTTTACTGGCATCTCCTATTGCATCCAGAGGTGGAGGTGCCAGGTTCATGTCCAATTTGGGGACATGGGGTTTATGCATTAATAAAAAAGAGACTGCAAACATTATACTCAACATTATTTGTATTATGACCAGCTAAATTTTATTTTGTTTTATACCTAAATTTCACAAACCAGAAACTAAATTAATATTATGTAAATGTAGTGAAACTAAACAAAAAGAATTGAAAAGATCTTCTTTAGGATAGTGGGAAAGTTTAAGAACTGCAAATTTTGCACAAAGCCAATAATGTCTATATGGCTACGAAGGGGTTGACATTAATCTTATGCATGCACTTAAAGGACTGCCTGACCTGATGGAACACCGTACCGAGGAATATCTGCAGACAGATGCAATACGCAGAACATCAGGAGAGTAGTCACTCTCAATAATATTCCTTGCTCCCCTTAAAGATTTTTCTTAGCCTCGGGTCAAGATATGACGTAGCAAGACAGCTTTGGCGCCAATTGAATCGTACAATGTCAATAAGATCAAGGGATAACAGAAAAATTCCAACAAGTTCTCTTACTTGATTATTTTCAGTGAGATGCCTGTCAACAATCAAGTTGTAATATGACTCGGTGAAGCCCGAGGTCGAAGCCACAGGAGTTATCCGTTGGAACTCAAAACAGAAAGGGTGAAATTGCCGGGCGCGTGGTGTGTGATACAACAGCTTGGCTCTCAATTGTAATTTATTATTTGTGGCTAATAAATGCTCTGTCTCGCTACTCTTTTAAATTTGGCCCTTATTCTTTGGTGTCTGAAACACAATGCCTGAGCAGGAAAAGAGTTTCTGACCTTATTCTTAACGGTCTTTAATCTTCCTCCATTGCCATTTTCAGCATGATCATGGTCACGAGGTTTACTTTTGTGTTTCATGTAGGCTTATAGAGTATGTGATTCCTATCTCTATGTTCAGCTTGCAAAATGCCACATCCGGCAGCTGCCGTCTTAGGCTGGATGCCACCTTCTGTCTTTTTGCTGACCATAGAAGTACTACTACTTCATTCCCGTTGAATAGGGGATTATTTGCAGGTTTTTGTTTTAACATACATGGATGTTCAAAAATCAAAACCGTACGGGTATTAGAACGAGAGACAAATATGTGGTTCAACATTAGCGGACTTGTTCAGCATGACATGTTGATATAAATACTTGTACTTTCCTCTGCCTTTTCCCAGCTATTTAAGAAAAATATAACCCTTTCTTCCTTTGTAGAGAATTAGAAGCTATTTCTTTTGTTTTCCTTTTCCTTCTATTTTACCTTAAGAGGTATCCAATCTACAATTCTAGCCACTGAAAGCCAAAGCCTGTGAATTTGGAATGTATCTTTGTACGTTATGTTTTCCCGGCCTTCTTCTTCTTTGTCGGCCGCTGCTTTTGTTGGTTACATTATACATGTCCAAGCCATCTTAACATGTGGTATTGCTATTTAACCATTGAAGTTGCCCTGGAGGTTCCAGGAATGCAGAAAGATTTTTCAAGTAATTTCATCTTTTCAAGTCATTCGTCTTGTCGAGTTGGTGTTTTCCCCTTTGTCATGACAAATTGGTGGACAGACTCTGTTATAGAGATTTGGATACTCTGAATGTTTTTAGTTTTCATATTCGGCTTGACTGCTTAATGAAGTATGCTTGCTTTATGTTTATGAAAACCTGGCATCACTGACTGTGTTACTAAAAATTGCAGGGTGACAATCTAATGACAGCTGTTTTGACAGGACCGGGAATTGTCTTTATTCAAAGTATGGCTTTCCATCGCCTATCTCAGCGCATTGCTAGGTAATTTCTTGCAATTGCCTGGAATCCATTAAACCAAATTGGATTTTACTTTCTGCTGTGGGGTAAGATGAGTTGGTTGGTTGCGAACACGCCTCCTGAAGCTGCCTTTCATTTGACTCACACCGTGGCTTGCCACGCTGTTTGGTTTAGTCCTTACTCACAAAACCTCGCTGGGAGTAGGAATATGGAGCACAACGTTTAATCTCGAGGGAAAAAAAAACCATTTGGCCCTCCCTCCCTCGGGTATTTGACAAAGTGGCTGGTTTCTATTTTGCAGGGCAGTTGCATCTCCAAACATGAGGGATAATCCAAAGTTCCTCATTCAAGTTGCAATTTTCTTGTTTCTAGTTTATGTTGTAGTTGTCTCATCATTTATCTTGACAGATATATAATCTCTCTTTTTATTTTTTATTTTTTCTCCTTTTCTTATACATTCCATATAGCATCTCTTACCTACTGTCTTCTTTCGATGCTACGTGAATCGATTTTTAAATTTAAAGATAGGGGAGAGGGAGCTTAATAATAGAAACACAGATTTACGTTTACATTGGTTTCATTGGAGGAAGTGTTATTGCTTTTAGAATTACTAATAATGCACCATGTGCGTTACGGGTGAATATTTTTTGTATACAAAAATTAATAAAAAATTTAGGTATATATGTATTTGAATTAATATATTATTTTAAATTTATTAAATTTAATTTTTCATTGTTCATATTTTATTTTAAGATTACGAAAATTATGTATGTTCCCAAATTTTTTGTTCTAAGCAGCATAAAAAAAAAGTTAAAGTTTTATTTTTTAGAATTTTGTGATTAAGATTGATTTTTTAGTGATGCTTGAGAAATTATTTTTTTTTAAAAATTTATTTGATTAAGATTTCACTTATAATTCCTAGAATAAAATAAAAGTAATTATCAATATATTAATCATATTATAATTTTATTGTAATTAGGAATTAGTTAGGTTAATCGGGATAAGATTTAATATAGTATTCTACAATATATATAATTAAGCATATTAAAATTCTAAAATATTTAAGTTTTATTTAAAAATAAACTACAATATTTATTTTACTTTAGATCTTAGTACAACTTACATAAAATCATATTCTTACTAAAAAAATATATTGATGTAACTTTAATTGATTTAAAAAAATTATATTATGATATTTTTTATTTTATAAATAAAATG